GCTACTCTGTGTTATGTACCTCATATATGTTTCCAATTCTCCCAACAATTCTAAGAATCACTGTCTCTATTTTACAGTCAAGGTGACTGAGAATCAAAAATGCTAAGTAATGTGCATACCATCAGATGTCTGCTAAGTGATGAACAAGGGTTTGAATCAACCACTGTTGGGTTCTGAAGTTCACATTCTTCATTGTCCCACCTGCTTCCTCACCACTGGGATCTAACCTCTGAACCCACTCAGGAAATGGCTCAAAGTTTGGCCACGTCCCATGGCCTTTGCACAGACTTCCCTGTGACCTCTGCCCCACTGGACACCGCTGTCCTTTCCGAATTCCTCCTGGGCTGCTTTTATTCAACTTCTGCCCCCTCCCTGCCCTTGTCTTCTGTCTCAGCTCCTGCCCCTCATCTTCCCAGGTGTCTGCTCCTCTCTCTCTCATTCACATCGAGATGATTTGAAGTGGCACACTTAGCAATGCAGACCGAGCGCCCTACTGTGGCTGGCTGGCTCTCCTCCAGGCAGCTGAAGACCCACATAGCCCGCAAACACTGAGTGAGAGGGAAGTTCTGCCTAGCTGGACGGAATTCAAACGTTGACCTTCAGACTCCAACTAAAATATTGGTTCTTCCGGGGTCTTGAGTCTGCCTGGTTTGGGGCTGGAAGGCATACCCTCTGCTCTCCTGGTTCTCGGGCCTTTGGATCCTTACCAGAATTACGCATCAGCCTTCCCGGTATCTAGTTTGCCAACTGTAAATGTAGCCTCCATGATCACATGAGTCAGTTCCTTAGAGTAATTCAATCTCTCTCCCTGTCTCTGTCTCTCTCTCACACACACACACCCCCTGTTGTCCTGACCAATACACCAACCCTACCAGTTCTTTTCTTCCTATCCCCATCTCCTTTCTGTTCCCTCACTGCCTGCCATCCTAGCTGACACTCTCGCCCCTCTGGCTGGACTATCACTGGGGCTTCCTGTCATTGCCTCAGGCCTGCATCTCTCTTTATCTGACCTTCATTCTCACCACTATAGAGATACTCTCCCCTTTTCTGATGACAAATTCCCTGTTGAGTCTTCATAGCTGAGAATACCAATCCAAGCTTAGGACATGTTCAAAGCTTTTCATGACTCAACTCAACTAAGTTTTCACCCCATTCACCTGCCACCTCCCAGGGTTTGGAGAAACTACTATGTGTTATTTCCCCCATCCTTGTGTTTTTGTGCCCTTTTTTCTTCTAGCTACCCACCCAGAATCACTGCCTACCCAAAAATGCCTTTCTCTCTTGAGATATGGCTACAATCATATCCCTACTGAAAGCCTCCCTTAATATTCTTTTTTTTTAAGATTTTATTTATTCATACATACAGAACTAGGGTACAGTCCCTCTTCTCAGGGGCGGTGAGGGGCTTCACCAGAGGCTCAGGGGCGGTGAGAGGATTCACCAGAGACAGACTGAGGAACAGAACAGGCAGATGTATTGAAATACACTGCTGAGGGGAGCAGCGGGCGGGTCAGGAGAGGTCTGCCACACCATGTGGGTCAGCTCCCTGGCCGGGGATTGAACTTGTGCTGTAGTGGCTGCAATACCTTTATAGTGCTGTGCTTTAACCTGTTGCACCACCAGGGAGGGCCTTCCCTTAATATTCTTAAAGTGAAAGTTTCTCTTTCCTTTGAAACCCATGACTCCCCTCCTTTAAGTATTTCAAAATATGACTTGTATATTCTTATTTGTATATGTTCTGTGCTCTCTTATGTTCAAGAGTGGAGGTTTATCTCATTCATTTTCATATCCCACAAGGCCTGATATAGCTTATTGTTGGATAAATGAGTATCATCCCAAGTGGAATGAAATTTGAAAGTTTAGTAAGTATAGGAGCCAGGCACAATACTTCACAGATGGCTTAAAAATATCATTGCTACCTGGCCCTCCCTGATGGCGCAGTGGGTTAAAGTGCAACACTGCAAAGCTGGCCACAGTAGCTTTGGTGCAAGTTCGATCCCGCCTGGGAGGTGATCCATATGGTGCAGCAGACCTCTCCTGTCTCTCCTGCTGTTCCCCTCAGTAGTACACTTCATCAATCTGCTTATTCTGCTCCCCAGTCTGACTCTGGTGAATCCTCTCATCACCCCTGCACCTCTGGCCTATACCCCAGTTCTGTATGCATAAATAACCTTTTTTTAGAAAGATTTATTTATTTGTGCATACAGAACTGGGGTGCAGGCCAGAGGCTCAGGGGCGGTGAGTGGCTTCACCAGAGACAGAGTGGGGAGCAGAACAGGCAGATCGACAAAGTACACTGCTGAGGGGAGCAGCGGGTGGGTCAGGAGAGGTCTGCCACGCCATGTGGTCACCTCCGGGGCAGGTGGGAATCGAACTCTGGAGGAAGCGGCTTTAGATTCTCAGTGCTGTGCTTTAACCTGCTGCGCCACCAGGGAGGGACTGCATACATAACTTTTAAAAAAGGAAATGGCTTTAAAAATTGATATCTAAATGATCCATTTATGGCAAATGCCAAAAAACTACTTTAAAAAAGGATGTCTGCAGGCCCTCCCTGGTGGCGCAACAGGTTAGGATGCAGCACTACAAGCTGCTTCAGTGTGAGTTTGATCTCTGGTCCCAGAGGTGATCCATATGGCACCTCTCCTGATCCGCCCTGTGCTCCCCTCAGCAGTGTACTTCATCCGTCTGCCTGTTCTGCTCCCCACTCTGTCTCTGGTGAATTCTCTCACTGCTCCTGCACCTCTGACCTGTACCCCAGTTCTGTATGTATGCATAAATAAATAAATCTTAAAAAAAATGTCTGCAGTATATACAAGTTATTGTAGGCAGTGATTCTTAAAATTCTATGTCTATTAGAATCACCTAGAGAATTTTAAAACATTATGATACTTACTCCCACTCCAGACCAGTTAAATCAAAAGCTTAGGGGTGCTGCTGGGTACTGGTTACTTTTTTAACCTTTCCAGGTAATTCTAGCATGTCATCAAAAGTTGTAAACCATAAACTGTAGGGGAAGGCAGCTGGATTTATTTCAATTTGGGTGTGGAGATAGCCAGGAGAATATTTTTCAATTAAAAAAGGATACTTTATTCAATCTTTGGATGCACAAAGACAAGGCAAACGGTAGTCTGAAATGGAGAAGATGGGACTACAATGGGCTAAACAAATCTCCAGAGTAATACCAATAACTTTCGTCAAGCACTCACTCATTAATCCTTATGATATCCGGTGAAGCAAGAACTATGACAGGCTGAGTTTTGTAACTGAATTATCTGAGTCTCGCAGAGCTGCTGTAGCTTATCCAGGTAGGTAAAATGAGTGGCGGGTATGTAAAAGCAAAAGGATACTCAGGCTCAGAGCAAAATGGAAGAAATCTTGGAGCTCCAGATTGTTGGGAACTTGTGTGCACACACATGTGGGTGTAAAAGTATGTGGGAGAGGTGTGTGTGAGCATACACATGCTAGTGTGTAGTTTCTATAGATACCAAACATAGAAACAGGAGCTCAGGGGATCAGATGGAGAAGAAAGAAAAGAAAAACTACTCTAAAAAAGAAAAGGCAGGGTGACTTGGTGATGGGAAACCCGCGGGGATTACAATTGAGATGGAAAAAAAAATGTACAAAATGATGTAAAAATAAACTTTTGCAATAAAAAAAAAAA